TCCCTGCGGGAAAAGGACCTGGGGGTGTTGGTCGACAGCCAGCTGAATATGAACCAGCAGTGTGTCAGGGGTGGCCAAGAAGGCCAAGGGCATCCTGGCTTGTATCAGGAATGGTGTGGGCCCGCAGGGTGATTGCGCCCCTGTACTTGGCATTGGTGAGGCCGCATCTCGCATGCTGTGTTCAGTTTTGGGCCCCTCACTGCAAGAAGGACGTTGCGTTGCTGGAGCATGTCCAGAGGAGAGCCACAAAGCTGGTGAGGGGTCTGGTGCACAAGTCTTATGAGGAGTAGCTGGGGGAACTGGGCCTGCTTGGTCTGGAGAAGAGTAGGCTGAGGGGAGACCTTATCGCCCTCTACACTGACGTGAAAGGAGGGTGTAGCCAGGTGGGGGTCAGTCTCTTCTCCCAGGTAATGGGCAATAGGACCAGAGGAAATGGCCTTAAGTTGTGCCAGGGGAGGTTTAGATTGGACATTCAGAAAAAATTCTTCACCAGAAGGGTGGTCAAGCATTGGAATGAGCTGCCTGGGGAAGTGGTTGAGCCCCCACACCTGGAGGTATTTAAAAGGCATGTAGACGTGGTGCTTAGGGACATGGTTTAGTGGTGAGTGGGATTGCAGTATTAGGTTAACGGTTGGACTTGATGATCTTAAAGGTCTTTTCCAACCTAAACAATTCTACGATTCTCTAAGAGGAAAACGTTCAATTTGACTGCACACTTTGTAGTATTTAGCACTATTTCAGCTTTATGTATTTAGCTGCTTGCCTCCCTCATTAAGGTCCACACATGCAGATAGTCCTCAGGAAAGAACAACTAATAAGGCTATTTTTCTGTAAGATGTAAGGCAGAAAGAGAAATAAATGAGATGGGATAAAAGAGGGAACTGTGCTAGATGCCACTTTGGCCCCCTTGCCTGTGAGGGAATTTTCAACTGCAGCCTGTCTGGGTGGCACTGGAAGGTACCTCCTGTCTGGGCAAGCATGGTACCATCAGTCCCACTGATCTGGCTCTGCTTCGGCACAAGCAGCAGATCTCGTTATTGTCAGTTTGTGACAAAGCATTTCCTCTCTTTTGTCCCCAGATGTCCATACAGTATCTTGGCTGGTATGTTCGGTATGCTGGGCTGGGGATCTAGGTATTCTTGATCTCCCTACTCCATTAAAATATTTGCTTTCTGAGCTGGTGAAGTAGAGGCCCACATAACAGTCCACGACCAAATAGGAAGAACCCTTTGCTTTGTGTACAGGGCAGATACTTTTTCTTTGTATGTCATACAAAGCTGTACAATGTCCTTGCCAAGAGCTATGTAGCTTTTTCTTGGACAAGTATCAAACTGCATTTTAAAATGGAAATGAAAGTGGAAGATCCTTCTGTAAGGTCCCACATTTTGCAATGGGATAATAATTGTATTTTCCCTTGCTAAGTAATTTCCATCTTTTTATGTGTTTTAGGATTACACATGGTAGTACAGGAAATGGTAAACTGATGTATAGAGGTAGTAGCTTTGTGAATTCTTGAATGAAGTGCCAAATGAATGGTCAGAGGCTGAACTAGGTTCCATTTAGCTTAATTATTCAGTACCAGTCATTACACAGTATGGTCAGTCTGGATTCCGGTACTGCCAAAACCATTATAGCTGGCTAGCATAAATGTGCTTTAGAATGATACAGACTTGCAGTAAGTTTTTATAGCTACTGCTTATGTATGGCTTTGTTTAGATAATTTACAAAGCTAGAAAATGACTAAAAATAGAAATCTTTCCAGTGTTTATGATAGCATGAAGCATGAATTTGGCTTCTGAAAGTGACTTTTGCAGAAATCACTATCTATCTAATGTGAGGAGAGTATTCTAAAAACATCTTTTTACTTGTTTTATAACGTGCTTCTCATTAAAACTGGTTTGCCACAGAAACTAGCTCATAGACATTTAGACTTTTGGTCAGATGAAGCTGATTTCAACTTAACCCGGCTTGAATGGGATTTTTTTTTTTCCTATTTTTAAAGTGCAAGATAAACTTTGCATTACTTGACATGAGACTGTTGGCATGGGGGTTTTCTTGGTTGGTTTAAACTTGCACAAAGGTCGCCACCTGGCCAGCAGATTTAAGTATCTGTCGTGCCTAGTGTTATTGTCATCCGTTCTGTCTCAGCCTAGAGCAGTGTTTGGCTTTGTATAGGCTGGTATACCATTAGGATGGTTGGCTCAGTTAATGTTCTGTCCTTCCCTCATGTCCTTTCTAGTCTTTGCAGGTAGATACAGGCTCACTCTGCCTTTGCTTTCTGTTGGTTGCAAACTGTCTAACTGTGTTTGTGTCATTCAAAGAAAATATCCTGGGCCTTTTGTCAAGACTTACTAAATTTAGTTCAGTCGTTACTCTAACCACAGTCATGTGAGCTCTGCCTAGAAGCTGACTTATATCAAGCCAACACAGGCAGATCTTGTGAGATGCTCTGCAGATAAATCTTCTCTGTCCCTTTCCTCTTGAATGCGAGCCTCTATGGGACCAGAGGGGAGCGCTGGCAAGAATAAGCCAGGCTCTTGACTGTTGTGTTGGCTCTGAACTAGCAATAGGAACGCTTAGTCAGGAGAAGGGAGAAATGGATTTCAGACCAGACTGTCCTGTGAGTTTGTGTTTGTTTTCCTGTTTGGGTGAGCTAATCCAAAATGCACGCATGTTTCAGGGAGCAGGGGAGGTTTTCAGCATCTGCAGAGCTAGGCAGCAAACAGACTACATTACTGGTCTAAGCAGGTTTTAGATGGACTGGATTCAGTCTATCTTCTTGCAGTAGGAAAGTACAAACTCCTCCCCTCAGCTAAGTGTAAAAAAAAAAAAATTGTTTTAACATTGAAGTTAAAATAGAAATGTAATTTTTAGCGAAGATTGAGGAAGGAATTAGGTCAAGTCCACTTGCAGCAGTGATCTCTGCTGCCACCCATATGGTCCTCATCTTAGGACACATCTTTAATTACTGAAATGGGAGTGGTGGGGGTAAGTGAATAAGACTTCAATTATTTTATTGGAGTTAGTCATATGCTGTTGCATTTGTGGCTGTTAATGAAATAAACAAGATGTCCATTGTGCTACTGCCCAAGGTTTAAATGTTTCTTCTCTTGCAGCTGAGCTTTAAAAGTTGTAATGAAAAAAGTTGTTGCTTTTACAGGTTGTAATAAATGCTTCAAACAACAGGGAATCTTTTCAGCTATTGCTAAACTGAACCAAAATACCCATGTCAAGAAGTTTTGCAGAGAACAATTTCAGAACAAAGTATACCTGTTCAAGAGTTTCTTCTGCCCCTTCCCAATGTGGCAATGGTTAAGCAGGACTGGGTAATGCTGCACAGCTGCTAACTGCTGGAGCCTGTTCTGATGAGCATCTGGGACTTCCATTCACTGCATTTGGGAACCACACATGCTTGAGAGGTGAATTTGACCTTAGGAAAGGAAGTGGGAAAGAATATTGTATCCACTTGAAATAGTGAGGGGAGTATCTGCAGACAGAACTTCATACTCCAAATGGGAATTTGGCACAGATGCTGAGGTGAACACACAGATGTAAGTGAAAAGTTCCAGAAGTCCTTCAATAACCACCTGTGAACAAGATCCCAGTTTAAGTGTTGCATAAATTCTGGAGTAGAGTCCCCTGTGGTGAGGCATTAGTTTCAGCCTGACGCAGAAAAAAGAATGCCACCCACTGAATGGGGAGCATCGCTGTCTCCTCCGCTTGAACCTGTCTCTCCCTGAATTAACATTGAGGGACGTATAAACATACTGGCACCTTTAACTGTACTTTCTCTTAAAAAAGCCAATACCGATGCTCTACTACTGAAGCATAGATGTCGCATAACAGTTGTTCCATGTGCAGTAGAACCTGTAATGCTTAGCTGTGCATTTCCATATTTCCCCATTACTACAAAGTCAGGCCCCCTGCATCTCTCCAATGACCCTCTCTCCCTACCACAGTGTCCTGGTTTCGGCTGGGATAGAGTTAATTTTCTTCACAGTAGCTAGCATAGTGCTGTGTTTTGGATTTAGTACCAGAATAATGTTGATAACACACTGATGTTTTCAGCTGTTGCCAAGTAGTGCTCAGACTACTCAAGGACTTTTTGAGCTTCTCCTGCTCGGCCAGGTGCATAACAAGCTGGGAGGGAGCACAGCTAGCACAGCTAACCCAAACTGACCAAAGAGCTATTCCATACCATATAACGTCATGCTCGGGGGGGGGTTAGTTAGTTCGGTCGGTCGGTCGCGGGGAGACTGCTCGGGGCTCGGATTATTATTACTACTATTGTTATTCTTCTCTCATTAAACTGTCTCTATCTCAACCCACGGGTCTTATTTTTTTTTTTCTTTTCTCCTATTCTCTCCCCCATCCCACAGAGGGAGGGGGGGAGTGAGCGAGCGGCTGCGTGGTGCTTAGTTGCCAGCCGGGTTAAACCACGACACACAGCTCTTTCACTTCCTTTCTTTGTCATTCTTCCCCGTAAAATCCAGAGATCTTCTCAATTTCACCAACCTCCCACACAATCCTCTTGTTCCCTGCCATGTTCTTTAAACTTCCTCACAGTACTTCTAGTTTCGTGTTTCCCCTCAAGCCTTCTACTCTTTCTCTACAGAGCCAAACTTGCTCCTATGTTCCTTGGGCAAGCAGCACCTTGTGTTGTGGCTGACGTGGAGCTATGTGTGCATGCATAAGCCAACAGCTAAGTACATGCTGGCAGTTCGAGTAGATAACTTTTGAATATATAGTGCAGCTTTTTCCTTGGTGCGTGTGCTCCTTTTTCTCTAACTTCCCTTGTAAATTATTTCTCAGTCCTTTGTCCCTCTCTAAATATGGTTGAAATTAGACAGCAGGTTCAAGAGTTATTTAGGTGGTACAATCACTTATGCTTGCTCATGCAATAATAGCTAAAGGTACCTTTAATATGTCTGCGTTAGGGTATTAACTTGACTAGTTAAAGCAGTCAAAACTTTGATCGATTGGATTAATTGCTCACTTAGAACAGACATGGCTGACCCAGTCCTTGCTCATCTGTGAAACTGAAAAGATCAGAAGTTGTTAAAAACAATTCATTGTGACCTAATGAAACTGAAACATATTCTACCGATCAGATGAATAATCTGTTTTAAAAAGAAATGCTCCTGGAAAAAGTGTGTCCCCTCCAGCAGTGAGAGTTAACTTGTGAATTGTCAAACACGTGTAACTTTTTTCTAATTATCCCCAAATGTTGATTTTGTAAGTCATGCTGTAAAACATGAAAGAAATTCCGTGACTCCTTCATAGGCAAGGGTTTAAATGCTTTCTTCTTCAAGCTTGCTTCCCATCAAAGACACAGCCCTTTAGTTGGTGCTGGTCTGGAGGTGCAGTGGCTCATTAGTTGTACGGTGGGGAACGTGGACAAATACCAGTGGCTTATGATCATACAGTGCCTGCTGCTGCACGGGCCTTGCTTTCAGTGTGTGGAATTCAGATTGCAGCAGGGAGGCTTGCCTCCTGCCTGGCTTGGCTCTGTTCTCCCCCACTGGCTCCCTCTTATCCAACCTGCTTGGTTGAGGGGGAGCATGCGTTGAATTTCAGGAGATTGTGGCCACTCATTTACTGCTTTGAAGCTTGAAGATGCTAGGTGCAGTCAAAATGTTATCACTGTTACTGATTTATGAAGAGAAGACCACTGAAACAGGATTGCTAAATCAGGGCAAACACTAACAAACTGCTTTATGCAAGTCACAGCTATGCTTATTTATCAGCTTTCAGAGGCTCTTGAGAGTCTCACCTTTACCATTAGCCAAAAAACCCCTTGTTTTTTTTAAATCATGTAGCCAGTGTTGCACGTGGGCTGCCTTGAGGTAAAAACGTAGTTACGACAAAGCATGTAATACGACAAGGTTATCTGTCGGTAGTATGGATTGTACACTAACTTTGCTTAGTTTTGCCTTGCAGTAAGTGTAAGTTCCCACAGTGCTTTTTCCCTCTGGGTTCCTTGGACATGCTGGTTATCTGTTAGTAAAATAGTCTTCTAAATAGTGAAGGCAAGGCCTGTTTGATGATGCTGAGCGGTTTTACACTGGATTCTCAGATTCAAACATCACAACCTGCTGTTTAACCCAAGTGCCGAATACTGGTAGCTTGCACTAATGTCGATGCAGGAGTTGGCCTGCAGAGATGTTTTTCCTCCAGTAAAATGAATATATAAATAAGATAATGTATGTATATTTGTTTTGTTACTTGTTTTCTTTTTTAATTCGGACTATGTTTTGGTTGTAAGATGTGAACCTCAAGAAGTAAGTGATGCAGAGCAGTCTCCAATAAAACATTAACAAATAAAGAGAATATTCCCACGGCAAATAATTCTTTAAATAAATATGTCCTTTTGCAGATGCAAGAAAAAGCTAAAGAAATTTACATGACTTTCCTGTCTAGTAAAGCTTCCTCCCAAGTCAATGTTGAAGGGCAGTCCCGTTTGAATGAGACCATTTTGGAGACACCTCACCCTCTCATGTTTCAGAAGCTCCAGGACCAGGTAAAGTTATTTTCTTCAAGAGCACAGTTTCTTTAGTTTTTGTCTACTTTTAATGGACTCTACTTTCTAAGCACAAGCCAGCATAGGAAAGTTGGGAATCTGCCTACTGCTACCTGTGGCATGGATTGAATAGGTAGGTGCAGAGCTGGGTTGCTGCCATATTGGGGATATTAATGCAGCTGCTCTGAGGGTGGATGCACTGTACCCCAGGATCTTGGCCCCATCTAACTAGGGCCAGTTAGTTAAGAGTCTCAGCGCAGCCATGCTAATTCCAGGTCAGGACTTTCCTGGAAAATTGGATTAAGTTCTCCTGGGTTCCTCTGCCAGCAGCTTGAGAATCAGCCAGCTCAACTAATTTTGTGCCTACGTTTCCTTCACTTGCGCTGAGTCATTGCTGATGTTTGTTTCTGTAGTTGCCACTGGTTTCCTTGAGCACTCGAGATTCTTCACTTCACTTTGTTTTGATATTTTTATTTATATGAATATAATGCAGTTTCCTGAAAAGCCTCCTCTTCTGTAACACACAAAAGAGGAGTTGGTATCTGCTTTGCCTTTTGCTCTAGATTTTGGGAGGTCTGGCAGCAATTAGGTGACATTTTGCAGGCATGTCTTTTGGTGGTAAATTTTCTTGATATTGAACTTATTTTAAAGCATAAGTTATGAAGGGAGTCATTCTTATCTGTGGCTTTCCAGTGCTTGCAGTCTGTACTATTTTTAATTTTTGTACCATCCTTAGGACTACCTGTATTTTCCATTTGGCTCTTTTCTTTGTGGAGAAACAGCATGCCAATTTAAATAGTGTTTTCAGCCCATTTCGTATCAGGTACTGAATATGTTAGTTGGGCACTGGCTGGGTCAGTTGAAGTGGTCTGAGGAGCAAAGTTTCCAAGTTATTAGCAGTGGAGAAGTCTGAAATTCAATTCCCATGTGAAGAAGCAAAGTTTTCCATGGAAGAACTTCTGACTTGGGGGAAGGGAAAGAAAATGTTCTTGTAAATCTAAGCATTGCAGTTCAGGGTGTGTGATTATGAGAGTAAAGCTGGAGAGACAACTGGAGTTAAAATGTTTTGCAGGTTTACAAATGAGCATGTAGCTCAGCCAGGGATTAGTAATATCTGAACTGGAAACATGCTAGACCAGTGGTAGAGAAGTCCCACTAGTGTGGGAAGAAAGTCTGTGAACTTTTAAAACCAAATGCAGAGTGTTTACAGGTTGTTGCAGGTTTCCACTGCTTGAAGCTTCTGTTCATTGCTGTTAGATAATAGTTCAGGAAGAGTTATGATCTTCTCTAGTTTTCAATCCTTATAAAGTTAGGAAGAGTGGTATAATTTGTTCTCTAAAGAACACTGTTAACTACTGCTGGCACTGTGTGTCTGAAGTATAAAAAGGCAGAGCTTGAAGGCCACAGTCTGGTCTACAACATTGCTGGTAACTAGCACTTGGGTTCTCCAGAGACCTACTGATTTAAATGGGGCTAGCTGTGGGGTGTGGTTTTGTGCTCATGGAATGGCCTTACACAAATATCTTGGAGGCTGTTGCTCATGCTGAATTAAGTAGTGTTGGAGTGGTTCACAAAAATATGTAGATTTCAAAATACTTACGGGGTAAATGTTCCTGCTCCACGGAGGCGATGAGAGGAGAGGGAAAAAGAGAGTTTTGCTTTTGCATGTGATTACAAAATCCATTTGTTCTGTGCATTTGGCTGACCAGACTCCAGAAGATTTTGATCTTACAGTGCTCTTTCTCTCTGGGAGATGCTTTAAATGATACCAGGAACAAGAGGGGGTCTAGGTTCTTAACACTGACTTACGACATTTTAACAGGCAATATCTTCCTTACAATTTTTTTTTTCCCTTGAGCTAGTTGGATAAATTTAGTTATGTTTAGTTAGCCAATGCCAGGAAGTGTAAGGTGACTTTGCTTAACTGCATTGGTTTGGGTCTACATCAAGAGGGTGTTTTGGGATTTTTAGTCTTCCAATATGTAGCTTATAAAGCAAGATTTCCACTGTTTTAAACATGAACATAAATATTTAAATATGTACAAACCAGTGGTTAGTAAAATGCTTCATGTAACTTATTTGCAAGGGGAGTATTTCAACAAACACATAGGCAAGAACAGTCAAGTTTTGTGTGTTTGCATTTATCCAGGTTCCTTGAGGATGTGAAATGAAAAAGCAGTTTGAGATTATTTTTTTTTTTCCCTCCTAACAAACAGTTGTATTACCCAGTTGTACTATCAGTTAGAAATGAGGCCCGTAAAGGTAAAGCTCCAGTTATCCACACATGCAGGCTAGAATCCAGAAATCCTTCTTGGAAATTTAGTTACTTGGAGTGTCATAGAATGTAATTGGTCATGAAGCATGACTCAGAGAGGCTCTGCCAGTGAAATAATAGGCAGAGGGTGATGTAGGCTTTGGGTTTGCCTCAGCTCTAGTTTTGAGGTTTACTTTTTCCTTCTCCTCTGTTTCAAGAACAAGGAAAATATAGTCCTGACCTTGACACCTGAACATATTCGAGGCTCCTCTCCCAAGCCCTTTTGTTTTCAGAAAATGAATTCTAGCTTTTCTGTCTGAAATGGGAGAAGAGAAAGCAGTTGTGTTGAGGGATGAGCCTAAACTCCAGCCCTGGGAGAGAAAAGCTGTGCTCAGTGCTGACTTCATCCTTTCATGCTGGCTATATACTGGCTGCAGGAATAAGGGCAGGTCTTGGCCTAGGGAAAAGCCTGATGGCACAAGTTTAATACATCAGCAGTTTTTAAACCACACTTTAATTGGCAAATTACATCTGTACCAGATCGGCTTTTTCTGGCAGGTACCTGCAACATTTCTGATCTGGCCTGAGGCCTGTCTTGGCATTCAGTTGTGCAGTAATCTAAAAACGATAGGAGGATTGGCGTAAGTTTAAGAAACATTGGTCAAACCAGTTGTTTCAGTCTAGATTCAGTTTGCAGTTTCAATATTTGTGTAAATTATTTAGAGGCTTTTCTTAATTATCTAGTGCTCTGGATGTATAATGAGCTGTTCTGTAATGTTCAAGAGTAACTGCAGTCAGAGAGGTGCCTAAAAGGTACCTCTTTTTCTTCAGCTCTGCTTTATCCCTCTGAATATCTTCCTGCTACCCTGCCAGAAGGAGGCCCTCACCAAGTTTTGCTCCTGGTGGCTCTGCAGAGCTAAGGCTGCTGTGAGAGGGGACCAGGTAATGTCCTGGCTTGTCCACATGTGTAGTTACCTGATCATCAGCTGGAAAATCCTACCTAGTGACCATGGCATGTGACCTCCCACTTTTCAGTATTAGGTTTTCAAAGCTGGCTATTGTGAAAACCATAATCTGATTCTTAAACTAATACGGACGTTATTGCAAAACAGTGTCCGTGGAACCTACAATATTGTTTGCTACATTCAGTCCCTTTTGAGAATGTGAAATGTATTTTAATGTCATGCTTTAGTAATGCTTTAGTACTAACAGAACAAAAATACATTAGAATTCATATACTGCCCTTCTCATTTAAAATCTAGTTTTACTTAGGTCATCGTTTTTTGTGTTTTTTTCCCTCCTACCAGATATTCAATCTCATGAAATATGACAGCTACAGCCGCTTCTTAAAGTCAGACGTATTCCTAAATCATAAGAAGTCTGAGGAGCAAGAAGAGAATTCACCAGAGGCTCAGACTGCAGCTAAAAGAGCGTCAAGAATTTATAACACATGATACAATTAATCTCTTCAGGAGAGGCAATGCAATAACTAAATTACACTCAGGAACAGTCTAGGTTTATAGCAGTTGCATTTAGGGCTTGAAAAGCTCAAAATCTTTTTAGAAGATACCTACCTTCTTAATTGCTTGAACAACTAATTGTTTTTGCATGATAGCTAATAACCAAGCACCCGTGGAAAGACTGTTTCCTAGCTAAAAGGCTGAGGTATTCCTCTATAGCATGAATTGCATTTCATATTTCACAAGTTAAAATGCTTTCATTATTTTCTTTTGTGAGGCATCATGATGATGAGAAATGGGAGATAAAGTGGTTGTGTTTTTTATTTTTGCCTTGTAATTTTTATTTGTGACCATCTTTTATATCCTGACCTGCTGAGAGAAGCTATTGAGGAGTACATTTCACGTTACTTTGTGGATAAGTCGTTCATAGCAAACTTCATCACGACGGGACGGCATCTGTCAGGGTTAAGCTCAATAGAATGCAATACCTTTTTTCAAGGTGATATCTGTTTTGCTTTGTCTTTATTGTTGAATAAAAACACTTCTCTATTGATGATTTTAATTTCTGTATTTCTTAAATTTCCCCCGTTTTTTTTTGCAGTAGACAGTCACATTCTTCAGAGGATGGAATAACCTGTATTCCCTTGGGAACAAAAGCTCTAAGATACAGAGAATCTCTGAAGAACTTGTAACAGCCATTAAGAAACCTGACAGTTAATATCCCACTCTGGGCACACTGGTTTTGGCAAAGGCACATTGATTTCGGCAGCGCTAAACCGGGGCTTGTCCTGTGTGTCAGCATAACATCAGTGTCAGATGCTGGTATTGGGAAGCATCTGGTCTCTCCTAAGGTCTCCTGAGCAATCCTGCTCCGTGCGGCAAGAGTACTTTGGCAAAGGACCAACCAACAAAGTCTGGCTTTGTTTTACTAAAATATTGCTACTAAAATCACCCTGCCTTATTTTGTTTGCTCCAGAGAAGCATTTCAGGATTTCTTCTTAATCATAACTTTCGATAGCTGCAATGGAACAGGAGTTTGACATTGTGGTTTAGCCATTCTCACATCAAGTTTGAGAGGAAGGGGAATTTGGTTTTGCCCAGAGCAATCAAAGATGAAATATCAGGGTGATAAAGGAAGATGGTCCCAATAAGCCTTCCATATCATCCTGGGCCTGTGTCAGAGTCGAAAAGCACATTTTGGCATACAATTTTTCATGTGTTCATATATTTTTGAATTAATTCACTGCAGTGTTGCTAAATTGCAGTTTTAAGTTGGGAAAGCATATTAGCTACATGCTCTATTTACAGGCTTTGCAGTGTGTAGTCTAGCTGTTTCACGTTCTCTCATTATTTACTCTTTCATTTTTTTTGCTCTGCTTTTCTTGAACTTCTGTTTATGTGCTGGCTAAACTAAATGCACAGTTGGCATTTGATCGTTTTATAGGGTTTTTTTGTCAGATATGTTTTATACATTTGTGGTGGTTTGACCCTGGCTAGATGCCAGGGGCCCACTAAAGCCGCTCTATCACTCCCCTCTAACTGGACAGAGGAGAGAACAATAAATCAAAAGGCTTGTGGGTCAAGATAAGGACAAGGAGAGAGACCATTTTATCAGTTGCCATCATGGGCAAAACAGACTCAACTTGAAAAAAAAATTAATTTATTATTAATCAAAATCAGAGAAGGAGAGGAGAAAAACTGCTAGATCTTAAAAACCTTCCCCCCCACCCCTCCCTTCTTTCTGGGCTCAACTTCACTCCCAGTTTCTCTACCTACTGCCCCCCAGTGGCGCAGGGGGATGGGAATGGGGCTTGGGGTCAGTTCATCACACGTTGTCTCTGACGCTTCTTCACCCTAGGGAGCGGACTCTTCCCCTGCTCACGCGTGGGGTCCCTCTCACGGGAGACAGTCCTCCACGAACTTCTCCAACGTGAGTCCTTCCCATGGGCTACAGTTCTTCATGAACTGCTCCAGCATGGGTCCATAATTTCCACGGGGTGCAGTCCCTCAGGAGCAGACGGCTC